TATCTCATTTATCACTTTCACGGGTTTATTACGAATCAACTTAACGGCCTGCTCCCAGTTGGCTTGTTAGCTCAATTGGTAGAGCGCTGCACTAGTATCACAGAGGTCAGTGGTTCGAGTCCCGTACAGGCCTGATTTTTTTCAGGTCTGATTTTCGCTATTGCATAAATAGCGCTATCTACTGCGAGGATCGTGCATCATACGTATCTAATACCGCAGTTCAAAATATATGAACTTCATATATTCATTGTATCTCATTTATCACTTTCACGGGTTTATTACGAATCAACTTAACGGCCTGCTCCCAGTTGGCTTGTTAGCTCAATTGGTAGAGCGCTGCACTAGTATCGCAGAGGTCAGTGGTTCGAGTCCCGTACAGGCCTGATTTTTTTCAGGTCTGATTTTCGCTATTGCATAAATAGCGCTATCTACTGCGAGGATCGTGCATCATACGTATCTAATACCGCAGTTCAAAATATATGAACTTCATATATTCATTGTATCTCATTTATCACTTTCACGGGTTTATTACGAATCAACTTAACGGCCTGCTCCCAGTTGGCTTGTTAGCTCAATTGGTAGAGCGCTGCACTAGTATCACAGAGGTCAGTGGTTCGAGTCCCGTACAGGCCTGATTTTTTTCAGGTCTGATTTTCGCTATTGCATAAATAGCGCTATCTACTGCGAGGATCGTGCATCATACGCACTTCAACTTTGTTGATATATCCAAATTAATACATATTTACATACAGCTCCTGTTGAAAAAGACTAAAAAAAGTCCGCCTTAAAGTTAAAGCCGTCTGAAATGCATCGCTAGTAATTCTCCTCGCTGCCTGCCGTGCATTTCGAAGCTGGATGTAACCATATTTCTATGTTCTGATTTAATCAACAGGCCCAAGGTAATTCTATAAAGGGTGAAAGTTTCTAAAGAAACTGTGGTGCTGCGTCATTCGCTCTGACGAACGCTCGAAATGTCAGCTCTTTTTAATAACTCATTACGGTCGCCAATTTACAATTTCAAATTACCAAGTTAATGATGTTTTCTAGAGAGCTTCGCTCTGCTCTAAACATCTGGCGAATGTCTCTACCACTATGACAACCATACCTATAGACCATAACCCTGACTGAATAACTGCGGCAAAAATCCTATTTAATTTATTGCAAAATTAGTTGAAAGCCTAAGCGATTTCTCAACAATATCCGCTGTGCCCGAGGAGAACAATCGTTTGGGTACCACTACCTTGCAGAACGGCAGCGCAGGGGCCATTTCGAAAAGGCTGTTCACTAACATCCCTAGCTTATGTAAAAAGACCTTCCTCTCGATTGCTAATGACCCGGCCCATCGCTTACATAAAATGCTTCAATCGTCAGGGCCGTCGTATTATAATCTCCAGTGCAAGAGGCGTTTTGCGATTCCCAAATGTAGGACCGAGCGTTTCAAAAATAGTTTTTCAGTAAGATCATTTTAGTGCTCGGTGAGTTTGGTAAATGAGATCGATGCTGTTGTATATATTTTAACAGTTCAAGCTTTCATCATATTTATAGGATATTATTTATTTAGGACTTTAACACTTTCCTATTACTATTATAAGTTATATTTTATACTTTATTGTAAATACACATTTCAGCTCAGTGGCTGCAAGCTTTTTACAAATAAACTATCTATCTATCTAAATCAGTTTTTGAGTATCGTAATTACTTTGCGCTGGGTGGTTATCGAGGATATTACGTAATTTTAGACCACATAGAGCGCGTGCCATCAACCTAAACAAGAAATACTAGCCCCAAGCAGGTTTCCTCGTTACTCCGAAGGACGACTATAATTGCTCGAATCTTGCGTTTTCATTCGGAAAAAGAAATATTATACTTTGGGTTTGGGATAGATCTCAGGTCCGGGTTGTTCAAAGCTGGGTGTGAAATCTAATTTCACACATCAGAAAGCTTTAAAAGAAACTTCAATAGATTGGTTCATCTGCAAGTTGATGATTGGAAACTCTTAAAAGAGTGTGGAAAAATCCTTCCAAATAGGCTTTAGAACAAAGGAGGGAAAAAATCAACCTTGGGTTAGCACTAATCGTCTTTCGGACAACTGGACCCAGTAGAATAAATTTTCTGAAAAAATTCTCGCGCTACAACAAACATCGAGTCACAGGCTACCTTCAGAATTTGTTGTTTTTTTCATTTGTCCACTTTCGAAAATTTTTTTCGCTGGGTGCTTCATTTGTCTCCCAGAATTTCCTCTTCAGGAATCAATTTGTGTGACTACCAACCTTTCCCTATATCCCCCTTCCCAAGAACAGAATAGTCCCTCGCCAAAAAGGAGATTGTTTGAAACCACACAGATTTATATATAAAAGCTTCGTATTTAATTTTCGATAAATAAGGCAAATATAAATAATTTCTACCTAAGGTATTCCGCTCTAAAATAGTCGCTACGCGTATCGTATGTAAGAAAAAGACTGCCCGTTGTGGAATTGCGACATACAAGTTTTTTCTATGACACATTAAGTCGCACTTCATATACCAATATAAGCGTTTATAAACTGGTCCGTAAGATAAAATACAAGCCCTTGAAGATCTTTGACAAAGGAAAGTCTGAGAGACATTTTCTATGCACGTCAAAACTTACAATCCACACGAAATGAAACGCACCGTTTTTAGAATGAAACATAACATGGTTATGGCCGCGAAACCTGCGCGTTGTTTGGCAACGTTCTGACAGTACTGACTGGCGTGGCTGGTCCAAGAGTCGAGTTTATAGTGGGTGGGGCTCCTGTAACTGGAATGGTTCCAGCTCCAGGGGCAGGAAGGCGAACGTTCGGCGGTACCTGAAAACTTAATCTCAGTGGCTGATACGTCAGACCAGGCCGAGGAAATGACGCCTGGGGGACCTGTGAGGCAGCCGGAAGAGTCGTCTGCACGTTCACTGTATTCTGTCCGATTTGGAAGCCCTGTGCAGCAGGTTGTTGCGTCATGTGCTGAATGAATCGCAGTTGATTCTGCCGGCGTATCTCGTCCTGCTGTCGCTGGTGCTGTTGATACACAGCGTGGCGCTGCTGGTACAGCCGCTCCTGCTCTTGCCGTGCAAGTTGCGCGCGCTCCTGCAGCTCCTGACGCTGTTGAATCTCCTGCAGCTGATGAATCTGCTGAATCTGCTTCAGCATCTCCGAATTTATTCGGATTCTCTGCGCCACCTGCATCTGTGTGTGCGCGTGGCTCCCCGGTGGAGGTTCCTGGCTGCGGTTGTATGCTGGGGCTGTTGGCAAGAATACAGAACAACGTCATATGAACTGGCACAACCTCGAATGGAATCAAAAGATTATAGTTTCGCCCCTCTTCCCTCCACCCCTTTTTTATTCCCCTCAGTATTGCATTTCGAAGCAATTAGTTTCTTTTAAGACAAGTCTGGACATTACGAACTCTCTCAGACAAACAACTTCGCGACTCGTAAAAAGGTGTGTGCACTGAAAAGGAATCCCTCTTCAAGAGAGGTGAGTTGTAGAAAAGTCAGCTAAGGTTTAATTGAAGACCGAGTGTGGATTTAAGGAGGGTTGAGATGAACCCTTCAACTCCCATGAGTGACCAAGACAGAATTTCTCCTTACAATATCGAGCAGACAAGTGATGAGAATAAAGAATATATCAATTAGGGAATTGTTAGATGATCCAATACCAAATTCTCCAAACTTGCATCATAAGAATTGTATAGCAGACAGTAAGAAGAATTACTAAGATGATCTTGGGAAGGAAAGGGATAAGGAAGACTGAGGGAGAGTGTTTAGTTAAACTTAGTCCGTGACGTTTTTCCTTTGTTCTTGTTTTTTTTTTGTTGCGTTACGTTTCGGTACATATACACGGGGTAGAGTTTGGTCACATGTTTTTTGGACTGTAGCTTCTCCCACGTGTTCTTATCGACGAGCTCTTGCGGGCTGTAAACTCTTCTTTTAATCGTTTAGTTCACACAAAATGTAAGTAGGATTACGATTGACGTTTTTTTTAGGTATTCATTTTGTTTATTCGTCTTCTTGTTTGTTTTCTTTCTCAGTATTCACCGTCTTGTAACCGTTTTTCATGACATGTTCATACTATCAATTGTGATGGTCGAAAATTAAAGGAATATTACGGATAACGTGTCGAAGTTTTGTGCTATCCCCAACAGAGAGGCTGGGCCAACCAGAGCAAAAAGGAATAATACGCTTACTTTGGTAACCCACCCCAGAATGACGATGGCATTAACAACTTGACCTCAGAATAATTGCACTGGGATAATGGTTTCTATTGGCACAATTCACCGGAAGAAACAGGATTAACTAAATAATTCATTTGTGTCGTAGAAAGCCATTTCATTGTACTATAAATTCCTCCTAAGCCAGGAAACTGAGAAAGAAATAGGAGATGAGTGAAACGACAGACAATATAGATAACAGGCGAATAAAGGCTGATAGTTTCTAAAGAAACTGTTTGGCGCTGCGTCGGTGTGGGGTAACGAAATAATTTAAATATATCAACAAAGTTGAAATAGTAAATTGGCCACCGTTACGGTTATAATATAGATAACATCACACACCTATTTGGCCAGACTTCTCAGCTTCGTAAGCTTCCCACGCCTGCCTCATTTCTTCCGGAGTCAGTTCTTCGGACTCGATATTCTGCAGCATGGAGTCGTGTTCGTGGTACTTCACTATCCATCTGGGATGAAGGCGTACGATCAAGTCTGCTAGTACAGCGTCCTAGAAAACGATAATCGTGCGACTGAGTGAACCCAAACAATTTTCTGTCCACTTCGTAACGTCTTTTTTAATAAGCTTGCAGAGCAGGCGGAAATTTAGGCGAGCGAATCCTCAACATTTTCTTGGTGGAATTCATACCGCTATCTTTGATTTTTATAACAGTGCTAGGCTAGGAATAAAATGGACCTTCTGTTCGCGACTGAAAAAGCTTGGTTGATCATCACCTGGTATTCAACTTTACGCAACACTACCTCAAATATACGAATGTCTGCAAAATAACAATTTTCTGCTAAAATACATTGGCTAAGCAAACTTTGCGATTTTAATGAATAAGGTGCGCTTCCCTGGGGGCTAGTATTAGTTTGCTTTCAACGTTTACTGTTCTTAGTTTCACTTTCAGTATCCATGTTGGAGAAGGGACGACCTAAGACGTTTTCAGTTCTCTCTCTCAATGGGCTTACAATACGGCGAGTCATATGGACAGGAATTATTGCATATTGACTACATGTCATTGATTTAGCAGCAGAAAACTTCGGTCGAGGGTCTGTGAGATGGTTGTTACCTTGGGGAGTGGTAAGGCAGGTTGCTCTTCAACTTTATCGCCTTCTTTTGCTTTGTCGCTTTCGCTATCTCTTGCTGAATTGTTTGAGTTTTCCCCTTCCTTTTCTTGCGTCTCTCCATTTTCTTTCTCAGTTTCATTGCCTCTATCGCTTTCCTTTCGTAGTCCATCGTCTTGATCACTTTTCCTTTCTTCGTCTTTGTCGCCGGCCATTTCGTTACTGACATCGGTTCCTCCCTCTCCATCTTCTTTGCTTTTCTCGCCGGCCTCGGCTTCGGCCTCGGCCTCGGCTTCGGCCTCGACCTCGGCCTTGGCCTCGACCTCGGCCTCCGCATCCTTCTCCTTCTCCTCGTCAAGAATATCCGGGGTAAACATGTACAGCTCGCGTAGATCGGCTGCAGTAAAGTGCCGCTCAATCTGCTGCTCATCCACCACTCGGCTGGACAAAGACAGCTTTGTCACCTGTGGGGAAAAAAATGACCAATGCAAAAACGGATAATAAAAAACCACTTTACAGGAACGTAAGAACCCGAGGGAAAAAAAAAGAGCCATCATGTATGCATGAGATGGAAAAGAATGAAAAGGGAAGACTGAAACAATTCAACCTATCAGATTGCAAGGCTCGTATGAGGCAACAAATTCAATAACAAGAAAATTAACCACAACAAAAGCCATTCAGATTGCGTGCGAGTTATACAACTATTGTTATCAAAACTTTACGTTGGAATAAAAAAAGAGACAAATTTAACAAATATTTTCTCTAAAGCAATTGTAATCTTCGATTTCAAACGGATCTAATAACATAGCAATCGCATTTCGTGTCAGGGTGTCTTGCAATTTTGATCACATTTACGCTTGCGAATCAAACTTGCCGCGGACCATAGAAGCCTTCGTATGATTACAGATCGATACGCAATTCACTAAGTTAGGTTAGAACCATTAATGTTCTTGTAAGATATGTAATTGTGACCACGTAGGGCAGTTACTATACTCCTATCACTGTGTTTCTCACTAACAATATTTTTACGTATTCTATCGCCATTTTTTCATTTAATCTTTTTTTTTCATAGATATATCAAGTTCAGCATTCTTGCCATAATGCGGATAATATTGCACTAACCTGTCTATCGTATATTTTCTCTTCCATCGTTCCCTGACAAGAAAATATGAAGCGTTAAACCCGAAATGTATGCGCATGCGCATGCGATCATCTATTACATGTACTTTGCGCAATAGAAATATTAAAGTTGTTGTATTGTTCACTGTAATACAAGTGATTAAGACTGGGTCATTTAAGTGACCTCTACACAGCCAAAATTACATGCTTGGAATTCTGAGCGCCCTGAGGTGAATGCACGTGGACGGTGGGCGTTGCAACATGACCACCAAACATTTCCTGAGACGAGCATCTCGCGTGAGATGTGAAACTCTCGCGTGTTTTGGTCGAGAGTTCTGTCGTTGACAGCCGATTTCCCTATCAAGTAATTCTTTGGTTGTTTTGATGGTAACAAACTTTTACTTGAGTAAGATAGTAAAACAATCTTCACGGCAAGTGAGTGGAGCAATTCCAGGTGTTCTAGGAATGCTATACGAGATTCTTACCTGTGCTATAAGTCTGTATACAAACACAGCCTTGCTCTGGCCGAACCGGTAAACCCTGAAGATTGACTGTACATCGTGCGAGGGATTCCATGACACGTCAAATACAACAACCCGGTTAGCTGCTACTAAATTAATCCCTAGTCCACCGGCCTTGGTCGAGATTAGAAACAAGCGAGCCCTAGAAGAAAATCCAAACAATCACTGGCTCAAAAACAAGTATGGTCAATGGAAAGCACTTTTCAATAAAAAGTGTTCTTAAAGGGAAGATGAAAATATTGAAATTAGAGTCAAAAGATACTAGCAAATTGCATTGATATCGGCTTACCTTTCTTTGCAAAACTTAAGGTAAAAGCCAATCGCACCATTCTAAGCGTTGTTCCGCCGCTTAAAAGCTTTTCTTTTTTTTCCCTTCCTTTTTTTTAATCTGCACATGGTTTCACAAGACATCACTGAATCGAAAAAAGTTCCTTTTAAAGAGACTCAAGAGGTAAGACTCATTGAATTCTGTTTTTATTAAACAGCTTTTCCTGATTGGAAGGAACTGAGCAATCACGTTTAATCTACAGCGCATTACGATTGATTCCCTAACAAATATTTTCAGTAAAAGCAAGAATCGATTTTTACAGCAATAAATGATACTTTGGCATCAATAATATCCCACAATGGACGGCAACATAAAGTGTCACTCCTGTCCAAGAACAGGTGCAGGAAGTGAACGCTTATTTCGAAACAGTTGACGAATGCTGCTTATCTCGTTTAGAGACTTGAGGATTTACTGCCTGCAATCACTTGAATTGCTTTTTGCCCATGAGGATGAATTCGTCAAACATCTCCTGCAAAACAAATGTGATTTAAGTCAAATACCACTTATAACTTACGTTTTGTTATCGTCGTCGTTAAAAATATCAGCCCAGCGCTGTCTCATGGCTGCACTTGTGGATCCATCCATTCGAAAATAATCACAACCTCGGCACCAGTTTTCTCTATCACCGCCGATCTCCCCGCCGCCCAACATCTTCTCTATCAAATCAAGCGTAACCAGGCTCTGACTGAACACCAGCACTTTATCATTCACTGCCTCTGCATCAGCAAGGATCTCCATCAGAAGAACAAGCTTGCCACTAAGTTCCACGTTGTATTCGTCGTCATCTTGTAGGAATTCATCGTACCATTCCTTTTCTTCTTCGATCTCCACGTCTGGCTCGTCTTTGAAAGACGCCCCCGATCGAGTGCTTCCAAAAACGCTGTTGTTCGTCTCGCTATAGTGTACGTCTTTACTTGTTGACGGTTTCGCATCGTCTTTCTTGCTACTAATTCCATCACGACTAGTACTCGCACCATCGTTGATCTTCACAACTGTTATGTCCTCTCCACCAATGTTCACAGTAGAGGAGCCAGCTCTGTTTGAGGCTGAAGAAGCTTCGCTGGCAAGCGCATTTTTCTTCCTTGAAGACTGCGGAAGAACTTCATCCTCGCTTTCGTTTTCCTCGTCATCACTTTCCTCCTCGTCTGAGCTAAAAATCTGCTTACTTTTCTTACCCCTGACTGTTTTTCTTTTATCTTCACCCTCAGATGAAGACTCAACTTGGTTTTCTTCCTCTGAGGTCGTTGACTGAACGCTTTCCGATCCCTCCTCTTCTTCGTCTTCTTCGTCGGTGTGCACCACAAAGTCGTCCATACTGTCTGTGTCCAAAAACTGTTCTGGCCGTCTCAGAGCATCCAGCTTGAGGCACCAGGGGTGTGTCCAGATGCGCATCAGACACTGATAGTCCGAGAAGAGGGAAACCCCTGGGAGCGAAATTCAAATACTCAACATAGGGGTTTGACATTGGGTTTACAGAAAACGGCAACAACTGAACTTCCTATGGCCTCCTGTTAGGCTTTTGGAGACGTAAGTGAAAATATCTTCCTCACTGAAAACAATCATTTCACAAGTGAGTTAAATCAGGGTTTGCGTTTGCGTTTTGCCGTTGCTATAAATGTCATGTTCACTCTCAAAATGGTTACAGAGGCAATTTTAACGAAATGGAACACCCATCACTTCCTGAGTGAGGGCGAATTCAGTAATATCCGGGTGATCTTAAAGCAAAAAAATAATCAAAATAACAAAAACCACACAAATAAATTACGCAAGATTATACAAAGACAGATGAAAACGTGATCAAAATAGACGCTGAGTCCCAAAAGTTCAAACAAAGCCCCATCCGTGATATCAAAACCATCGATTTATTCAACTGCTGCCTCGTCAAGTTACCTGACAAACGCAAACCGTGTTTCATATTTTCAAAGACGCCTTCTAAAGAAACCAAGGCTGTTTGATTTTGCGAATTTTTCCATTAACAACAGCCACAAAACCAAAAACGCTCAAATGCATCAAATGCACTTCCTTTTTTAATGCACCTACCTCTTTTACCAACGTCCCCATCAGGAAACACGAATGTCTTGAGGTAGTGTTCATACAGCTTCCGCTGTGATGCTGATAAACGAACCTTGATCACGTACTCGTGTTTACGCGGAAGAAAAGGTATCAGCGCGGCGTAATCTTTCCTCTGTTACAAAAACAAGATCAATAAAGAAATTGTAAGTGATCTTTTTCCGCCCACTGATATATGACGGGTCTTCTTTGAGCAATAAATATAACGCAATAAGCGTTTTTCTCCAAGAAAAATGCCATCACAGGAGCAATATGGGTCACTTTTTGTAGAATAATGGGTGTACCTGTATAGTTTGTGATTTCGCATACCTGAACACAGCCTTCTAACATCTTATGAAGCACATGGCATCGTTGTTTCATAATCTGAACATCTAGAGCAGTAGAATCTGCACATTGGCCGTTTTGAATGGGATTGACAAACGTGTTCGTAAATTCTTTTCGCGTACCAAGGAGATTTGGTTTCACAAAACTCACCATACAGTGATCTGCAAAATAATTTAAGCGAGATGAGTAACTACAGAATGCTCATGGTACATAATCAAAACTAAAAGTTAAATTATTATCGTGTCCCCTAATATGCTGTTGATATTTCAGCGTTTCGACTGCAAAATGCTGGTCTTTTGGGACGAAGAGGTAAAATGATTCGGCGTCGCTTTATGAAGCCTAATATTCCACTTCGATAGGTTGGTCTTCAATCGTCATGATTGGCGATCTCAATTCTTACCATTTCACTGCGATTTAACGCGACGATAGGAAAGAATTGTGAGCGACCAAGTCCTGAAGGTCAACTGGTCTGCAACTACTAGCGCTTATCCCTTGTCTACTCCGCAAGAAGCGACTAGGAGTATGCCTGCGGCATAGTCAATCGTAGCCAACCCGCATATTTTGCAAGATTTGTATAATCGTTTGTCAATACCCAATTTTACTCCTTAATGGGGCAGAAAGGAAAACACAACACAGAGCTCAAACCAGAACCTCTCAACCCGAACTCAACCCCATTATCCCAATAACAAGGTTACTGCCATCAATAAGTGTGAATCGTCTGCTGAGGCCCTGTTCGCACTACACCGAAAAATTAGGTTTGGTATTTGCGAAAAAATTGAAAATTTTGTAACAACGAATTTTCTCTTTTTGTAATAGCGTTCGCACTCGAGACGTGCGAATTGTTTGGGTAACCACAAATGTCAGTCAATCGAAAAAGATACCGAGATTTCGTGACAGTGCATTTTTTTTTATGTCGTTTCTGGTCAAGGACTGATCGCAAAGCAAAATGCCCCCGCGAAATGTTTTAATCGCCCTTCTTTGCTGTTTGCTTGCCATGCAAAACCTGATTGTGGCTGGTCAACAATTACTTTTGGTTTTGTTGGGAAGGATTCGGCTTTTACCGATCATAGAGACTTTAACTCAGTTGCTCAACAAACGTCGACCTGTAGAATCCTGGTTTGAAAACGTCACCATCATCAATCCTTTTCCTGCCTCGTGGCACATAGGGCCTTCACAGAGCTTTTCCACTCCTCTCGATTGGTTGCTGCTGTCCGCACCTCCTCCTACGACCTCCAACCCGCCTCTTGCCTTTCTTTCTCTACTGTGCGTCTCCAAGTGGTTTTTGGTCTTCCCCTTCTCCTTTTACCTTCTGGCGCCCAGCTCATAGCAACTTTGCAATCATAACCTCCCTAAAGTCTGTTTCCGTAGACATTTTAGAATGGGGAGAGAGTCATTCCACAACTTACGACGTTCAATTACGAAATATGATGACCAGTTGAAGGGTATCTGTCAAGGGACAATGATTTTTTCGCCCGACAAAAAATTGTAAGCCTCCAAACCTAGTTGACGGCATCTTTGAGGTTTGGTGAATCTTGCGAAAATTTTGGTGGGTCAAAAAAATCGTTCGCACTGACAATGGTTTCGCGTTCACAGATTTTTTTGCAAAACAAACAAAATTTCGCGTAGTGCGAACAGGCCCTGACTTTCTATCATATATGCTGCAATCTGGTCGACTACTCGCTAACCATTCCGTGACGAACAGTGGGTAAAGTAAGACGATGCGAGGTTGTAAACAAAAACAAACATAAAAACATGAGCTGCCTTGTTGTTACGACTACTTGATTCACATTACCGAAAAAAGTTACATTATTCGCTTTCGATTTTAACGAGTGGTAGGCTATTCGGACTTTGCCCTCATAATAATCTCATGGGAACATACATTCAATGAGGTTATTCTGCAGAGGTGTTCCAGTCAGCACAATTCGCCGTTTTGTCTTGATGGCGTTGAGAGCTTTGGAGATGGCACTGGCATCATTGCGCAAAATATGACCCTCATCGCACACCACCAAATCAGGACCTAACATGTAAAAAGAACTGATCATTAAAACAATTCTCAGACACGTCCACAGCATCACTTTACAACGGAAGATTCGAGGATTGACAAAAATATTCATGCAACGACAGGATCGCATGTTACTAAACCATACGAAATTCTAAAATTGAGTTTTCTCGAAATGTTTCCTGGACCCCTTCTCACCCACGGAAAATCACTAGATCTGCCCCGTGCTTTTATTCTTGGAAGATATAGAAACGACACGTTTGGTTTTAACATTCTCTCGAGGTTGAATCTAAAATTAATTAACACATCCATGTACACGTTCAATTCCCTCCTTATTCTAAAGAGAATGCTGAAAAGGAGACCAAAAGGTGAAGTTAAAATTGCGTATTTTGCAACAAAATCAAGAACAAAAACAAAACATATCGACGTTTATCCCTTGACCCTATGAGTGACCAGCATCTAGGTTCTCCTTACCATATGACCTCTGAATCAAAGATTTAAGTCATGAGAATATAGGAAATGATCACCAACTAAAGAAGCAATCAATCGTTGAACAAATTCTCATTGTCAGCAGCTTAAGAAATATATAGAGAACAATATGGAGAATATGCATTCTGATATTGGAGTGTAAAGGGTCAAAGGAATTTCACGTCTGTAGTAATCAGAGGCGGATACAGGAATTTTTGATTGGGGGGGTCCAAATTTTGGTTCAGAAAGGACTGTTGGACTCTTTGAAGCAAATTACTTCTCCCCCACACCCCCTTCCACCAGTCCGGTTGCACGTTATAACTCCTTGGCCGCTTACCGTTTATTTGGGTTCATAAAAAAAATCAGCCAGTTAAAAGTGATATACGATCCTGTCTCAAACTTGTAAGCGTCAGGTTTGATAGGGGGGGTCCGGACCCCCCGGACCCTCCCCCTGGATCCGCCACTGGTAATAACGTGGTTTACCATTCTTACCAACAGTTCACCAGAATTTACCCGACACAGCTCTCATTTCCAAAGCTCGTGTTTAAAAGTAACAAAAAATAATCGAAAGAAAAAAAATGGAGGAATGTTTATGTCTGTTATTTGAAACAACATTTTTAGCATAAGTCCTTGAAACAACCAGTGACTGACTAAATAAAGATTCACTCCACCTGGATCAACCAGAGATTCCTGAAATGCTTTCTTCTGATGTTTGCTTCTAATCCTGTAGCATTGTGACAGGTTACGGTACAGAGAGTAACCCATAATCATTACACCACCATGTCGCATCCAATGTTTGAGCATGTCTACTCGACGCCAATTGTTTCCTCCAGCTTCTTGAAGGATATAAACCTTGGAAAAAAAAAGGAAGTTACATTAAATGTTAAGGTGATCATTTCTTTTAAAAAAGATGTATACACCGTACTAAACATTTTTGAAAAACTTTGTACGATTGATATCCAGTATTAAAAAAGAAAAAAAAATTGCAATAAAGACATGGGGTCACCATACTCGGTTTCGCCCTTTGCGTTACTATAATAATATGTATTTTTCACTGAGTTGCGCGAGACAAGTTAAATTTGAAAAATCCGAACAAAGTTCATGCTCTTGGAATTGCGACAAAAAGCAAGGAAATCAGTTTTGAGGGAAATTTACTTGAAAGCCCGGGTTATGTGTTCCACAGCAAGTTTTCCATGATCAAATTCGAACACATCGCAAATCATTCCCTTCCTTTTGAATTTATTTAAAAAAAAATGTTATTCACACTTAAATAGGTATTGTTTAAGTCCCCTGGTTAGTAACGGTCTGAAAGACACATTGGTAACGTACAAGAAGACAAAGTCCCAAACTTACAAACCGGCAGTCTAAATCCCACAGGGATCAACGAACGCTTTTCATTCCACTAATTTACTCGTGTTTTTCTCGTTGCCATGTTCCCACCAATAACGTAGCTCCATTTTCTGCCTTTAAAAGCACACACAACCCACAATTCCTCTATTCGCTCCGACGAAGGGCTAACGCTCGAAACGTCAGCTTTTGTAATCGTTACGGTGGCCAATTTACCATTTCAACTTTACGTATGATGCACGATCCTTAGCAGTAGATAGCGCTATTTATGCAATAGCCAAAATCAGACCTGAAAAAAATCAGGCCTGTACGGGACTCGAACCACTGACCTCTGCGATACTAGTGCAGCGCTCTACCAATTGAGCTAACAAGCCAACTGGGAGCAGGCCGTTAAGTTGATTCGTAATAAACCCGTGATGATAAATCAGATGCAATGAATATATGAAGTTCATATATTTTGAACTGCGGTATTAAATAAGTATGATACACGATCCTTCGCAGTAGATAGCGCTATTTATGCAATAGCCAAAATCAGACCTGAAAAAAATCAGGCCTGTACGGGATTCGAACCACTGACCTCTGCGATACTAGTGCAGCGCTCTACCAATTGAGCTAACAAGCCAACTGGGAGCAGGCCGTTAAGTTGAATCGTAATAAACCCGTGATGATAAATCAGATGCAATGAATATATGAAGTTCATATATTTTGAACTGCGGTATTAAATAGGTATGATACACGATCCTTCGCAGTAGATAGCGCTATTTATGCAATAGCCAAAATCAGACCTGAAAAAAATCAGGCCTGTACGGGATTCGAACCACTGACCTCTGCGAAGGACCGTGCATCATACGTATTTAATACCGCAGTTCAAAATATATGAACTTCATATATTCATTGCATTTCAACTTTGTCGATATATCCAAATTATCAAGTCCCAAACTTATTACTACCTCCAGCCTATCGTCCACAGCAAGCCACTTTTCGAACTCAACTTGCCAGTTCAACACTGTGTTGAGCGGGGCCACGACTAACACGCTTTGTAACTTGATATCTGGATGGGTCATCAGTGTATGTACCAATGCAACGACCTAAGAGAAAAAGTACCCCTTTCTTTACAACAACTGTTGAGATTCTCGCCGACTCAGCGGTCTGGAGCCAAAGTCAATCGGAGAAGAGATAATAAAAACGACCTAAAATCAAGCCATACAAGTGTTGACTAAACCTTTACAGCAAGCTCAGCTGGGTTCAGGAAAGGAAATTTTCCATGCCAATTAAAGTCATTCCCGATGAAACCACTCGGCTGCACCTCGCAGTTTCAGACAATGAGAATATAAAAAGGAAAAACTGCAGTTGAGTTGTTGAATAGTTTAAAACGTCTTGGTAGCCTCACTATCGCCAAATCAATTCAGAGTTCAGTAGAGAGAGAATGGCACAGAAGATCGACAATCAGCACTCATTCCTGGTTTTGATGCATTTCATTTCATGCAAAAAAATTCAAAAAACAAAATCAAAACAAGCAAACCACCTTATGTGCGGTAAAATACGAGTGCCCAAGATACGATTATTATTGGTTTTGCATCTGATTGGTCGAGCGGAAGGCGCGAGTGTTCTAGTCCAATCACACACAAAAGCGAAGTTTTAAGCAAGACCAATGCAATCCTTCAACAGTTCATTCAATATAGTTCTATAAACAGTTCTCAACATACCTGCAGTGTTTTGCCGAGGCCCATACAGTGGGCTAGTATACATCCTCCACCGGGCTCTTCTTTCTTCCATGACTTCAATGATTCAATTACACAGTCATACATGAACTGTATTCCTTTGCTTTGATGAGGTTTCAGATGCTGCAGAAGATCCTCTTTAATCTCGACTAAGGGCCCCTTGGTATCTGGGTCAGCCTCAAGAACGAGTGTTGACACTTTAGCTGACGCAGTTGGTAAGTCATCAAGTTCATTGGCACGAGTCCTTTCTAAGAGACGTTTCCGCCTCTCTTCCTCGAGCCTTCGGGCTTTTCGGGTTTCTTCGGCAAGCTTTTCATCTTCGATCAGTTTGCGAATTTTCTTACGACCTTTCTTTTTCGATGGGCTCACTTCCTCGTCTTCTTCTTCTTCTTCGTCGTCATTATTTTCTGAGTCGTCACTATCCTTCCCAATTTGATGTTTCTTTCGTCCTTTCTTCTGTTTTCCTGTTCCCTTCCGTGTCCTTTTCTTCTTGCGATCTTCGTCAGATTCAGAACTACTCCTTTTAGTTTTCTTCCTTGATTTTCCCTTCTTTCTGCTGGCAATCTCTTCATCAGATTCATCACTATCTTCCGAAGCTATCCTCTGCTTCTTTTTGCTCTTTTGAGCTTGCAGCATTTTTCTCCTTTTTGCAGGTACATCACTGTCAGATTTCTCGTCAGCAGAAGAACTGGATTTCTCCTCTGAAGAAGTAACCATCCGTGGACGTTTCCTAGTTTGTTTTTGTGACACGCTTGCCTTTTTGGAGCGTGTCTTTCTTTTTACATTGTCGCTTTCGTCCTCAGAATCTTTATCTGAAGCTTGTTTCTTTCCTTTTCCTCTTTGCTTTTTACTCTTTTTTTCCTTTTGAAGGCCATCTTTTGTTCTCACCATAGAAACAAAGTCTGAAAAGTCTGAATCTTCCTCTGAACTTCGGGTTTCACTTTTATCTTTCTTCTTCGTCTTTCTGACAGCTTTCGCTATCCGTTTGGAATCTTGGTTTTTGTCATTAGAATCTGATTCACTTGATGAATCTTTTCTAGTTCTATTGTTTTTCACTTTGCTTTTCTTAATGTCTTTCTTGTTATCTGATTCGCCTCTTATTTTTGTTTTCTTTTTACTTGTACTCTTCCCCTGGCCCTTCGCATTCTTCTTACCTTTACCCTTGGAGCTGGTAACAACGACATCATCATCACTATCGCTGTCATCAATCACCAAAACATCCTCTTTAGCAGAGCCATTTTTCTTTGCATGTTTCTTTTTTTCAATTTTAGAGCTACGTTTCCTGTTTTTCTTTTGATCATTCCCCTCGTCACTATCGCCATCACTGTCAATGATGAGATTAGCAGCAGCCGCAGTCTTCTTTGTTGGACTTTCACTGGGCGACAATGCGCCATCAGAGCTCATTCCCATATTCTCACTTATACTGCAGAGTCTGTTCCGCCGTTCCTTTTGGTTAGGAGCCTCTTTTAACGAAGGTCCTTTTTTCGATTTGAAAAGACTCTTTTGAGCTTTGCGCAAGTCCAGAATGTTCATAATTCGATTACATGATTTTAAAAGCTGTGATAAAGGTTTAGAATTACAACAAAAGCATAACCATTCAGTGTCCTCCGGCGCATCCACGATCTCTTTGAGTTTAGCCTTTCCCAGGTTACGTTTAATACAAGGTTTGCAAAATGCCTTCTCGCACTTGTCACAGCAGAGAAGTGAACCTCCATCGCCACACCATCGACATTGCTCCTCCACACCAAATTCGTCACGAGTGAATGGCCCAGAATTAAAGTACCGACTGCATTTCTACGTAAAACAACACAGCAAAAGTAGGAAATTAAAGGAACACACCAGAAAAAAAAAGATGTAACTAGTCTTCAATGATCAGCCTCCTGAGAGAGAGAGAGAGAGAGAGAGAGAGAGAGAGAGAGAGAGAGAGAGAGAGAGAGAGATTTTATTTCCAAGTAAATATAAGGTGGTTATTACTAGGCTGGCTTGTAAATAGCGAAGAGCTAGTTGCGGTAAGCCTCCTTTGTGTGTGTTGCCACAAAAGACGGCCAATTCACTGAGGTCAACACAAGTTTCTACACTCATGCTGTAAGCGCACATTTTGATTGAGAGTCGTAAAGCCAAAACCAAAGTTTAACTAATCTACAGTGGTTTAAAGAGTTCTGTACCCGATATTAGTCGTCACAGTGGTCAAAATGTGGTGGACTCACGGGGCGCAGCTGAGCGAGTCCGCGAGCAAACTGACTGTAGCGCGGGAAAATGCAGTCACCAAGCCACCACTGGTTTTAATTTGGAGTACGATTGGTCGAGAGAATGGCGTGAGTCTTTTGGACCAATCACAGACCCAAAAAAAACAAAAACAAAACAAAAGCAAAACAAAAAAAAACAGCGAAACTAAGGCAATCCTGCATTACTTTCGACATTCAAATGATAATTGCTCTGTCCCACCTACCGTACAAACTAAATCCTCAGACAAACGGCACTAATGAAAATACTATTAGTCAAAAACGACCGCATTTAGAAGAAACCACAAATTAAGGACGTTGCCGCGTAATAACGCATCTACGTGTTATTAAAAATTTCAAAATCTGTCAATAAGAGTTCATTACATGCCTGAGAAAAAAGTGCGTGTAACAAGACAAAAAGATGCCCCTCTACATAATTTTTTCTGCACTAAAGTTTTCATCTCAGAGGGAGGTGACTGAAAATTATATTTTAAAAGATCTATTTATACTTACTTTGCACACCAAGACATTCAAGTTTGGGTGTCTACAGACAGTTCCATGTGCAGGATTCACTTGTCTTCCACAAGCTGTACACTGAACTCTTCTGGGCAACTCAGCTGAATATTTCAAAATACAAAATGTTAAAATTTCATACCAATGATAAGTTTGGTATTAAGACAGTTTACTGTCAAAGACAAGCCAATGAGTAAAAGCAACTACCATAAAAAATGGGGTGAAACACATGTAGCCGTTGGCACTTTCTCTTCCTGTCTGCTCATGTTTCATGAGCACTGAAGTCCTACCAGCAACAAATTTACTACAATCTCAATTCCGACCCTGTCCCTACCGTCTAAGATCGAGTTTAAAACAGCTTTGTATTTGATCACTGAGATTTTTCCAAATATTACTCCATAGATAGTGGAAAATCTAATTGTATTGGATTCCAAAATCAAAATCCAGTTCAAAAATTCAAAATCCAGTTCCAAATCCAAAATCCAGTATTGTGTGGCAAAAACAAAGCTTTTCTTGCAATAAAATGATCCACAGAGTAAACGGTGACCTAATCTGTTACAGTTGCTTTTTGACCACATCCTCATCTTACACCTACATCTAGGGCCTTAGCAGAGTTTTAAATTCAATATTTACCTGAATTACAGTTGAAATGCAATTGGCTGGTTGGAAAATTTCTTATTCACCTTTAAGAGCCTTTTACATTGAAAATCTATGCATTATTTTTTTGATGGTGCCCAAGTCACAACTGTGCAAAGATAATTTGCATCACAGGCCTTACCATCTGTGTCTAAATTTTCTGACGTGTGCTCCTTCTTTTTCTTCTCCTTCCCATGTTCCTTCTGCTTCTGCACCTCTTCACTGATATCATATCCCAGCATTTTCTGAAGGCCATCCAAGGAGTTCTCATAGTTTTCTATGGGTTCCTGTTTCACCACTGGAGCATTTTCAGGTTGTACGTCATCAACAGCACTATCCTCTCCATAGCAAGGAACCTCCTGTTTGTTATCAATCTCCATGGCATTTTCAACGACATGAGCTTCCTCATCCACTTCTCCTTCTGGGTGTTGGACTGGGTCCTCATCATTATTCTTTTGTTTCACTGGTGCAGCAGCTGCTTTCCTGTAAGGTAACAAATTCTCATCAGCAATATAAAATGTTCTCATGAGGGTTTTCATTCAGAAAGACACTCGCAAGAGAACAGTATGAAGTGATAGTAGAATGTTCTCCAATTGTGAATAAKAAAAAAAAAAAAATTGAAAAAATTCAGACCATAACAATCATGACAGAGAATTCTCTGATCTTCAATGTCTAATGCCCTACAAAATGCCAGTCTCTTAACCTTTCCAAGATCTGATTATAAATTCTCCCCTCTAGCTGCTACATATCTCCTTGTAAATTGGATAGGAGGATTTGGTGTTCAATCAAGGGAACAGCTTCTACCTGATAAGTTTGAGTATTCTCATTACCTGTTTGCTGGATCATGTATAGATATTATAGGGAGAAGTTACAGGTTAATTGCTTCTGGGAGTTAAAGAGTTCAGCCTTCAACCCCCAACAGTGACTAGCATCTAAAGATCTAATTTCTCCTTACAATTTCACCCTTGAATCAAACTTTAAGCTCAGGAAAATAAACAAAATGATCATCAACTAAAGAAGATGCTCTTGATTGTTGAATAAATTCTCCTTATCAGTATCTTAGGACATGTAAAGAGACCACTATGGAGAATATGAATACTGGCCCCGGTTGTTCGAAGGATGGATAACGCTATACACTGGATAAATCTCTATCCGGTGGATGGCGCTGTACGTTTTGGTAACACTTATCCACTGGATAGCGATTTACCCGTTGGATAGCGTTTTCCGCCCTTTTAACAACCGGAGCCTGATGTATGCATACTGAGCTAAAAATCAGTGTAATTCAAAACTGGTCCTCAATTAGTTTCATAAATACAATAACAAAAGGCATCTTTCAGCCTCATTTGTAAAATATAATTAATAATTCAAACAACAGAATACTGAATGCTGTATCTTACATTTTACTTATAGGAATCGTTACCTTCTTGATACCCTTGGAAGTAATTCTCTTGTTTCATTACCATTATCATTTTCTTTCTTTGTATCATTCTGCAGGTAAAAGCCATATTTTTAAATAAAATGTATACAATGAAATCTTATTAAAGCAAACCAAATTCAATGAGGGGAGGGCAGGGGCTTTAATAACTTTGTCACTCTCAGTGGTTAATAGCTTTTCCCAAAGGTGGCTGCAAATGGTGTCATAACTGGCCGTGCCCAGAAAAGGGACAATGAGAGCAAACACCAATCAGAAAAGCCTGTGCACAGAAAATTGTAAAGTCTTATACAAAACTGTAGGCCACAGCAGGCTGCCTGTATTCAAATGAATAAAGGGGATATGTTTCTAAAGAAACTGTGGTGCTGCGTTGGTGGGGGTAACAAAGTAATTTGGTTTTATCAACTAAATTGATAGTACATCAGAGTGAAAGACAAAAACCGCCTCCCGGTTAGCTCAATTGGTTAGAGTGCCAGATTATGTTGTGTGGGAGGTCGAGGGTTCAGACCCCAGCCAGACCAATACTCATGGTCTTAAAATAACTGAGGAGAATTTACTACCTTTCTATAATATCAAGAAATGGATAGATATTCTAGTCTTCTTGGATAAGGATGAATAAACTATAGGCCCCGTCTCTTGCAGGGTTAGGGGTAGGAGACGCTAATTTCCCACGCACGAAATTACTGTGTGGTGGATGTCCTCCCCTGGGACAGGGTGGGCGGGAAGGTGGATCGTTACATGGACTGAAGCAGCTGCCAAAGGCACCTGATAATGCTGACGTCTGATCTCAACCTTATCATTGTAACTAGACACGTTTGTTGTTTAGAGTGCTTAAGACTTTCTTCCTTTCTTTCTTATGCTCGAAACATTAGCCTTTTAACTCTTTACGATGGCCAATTTACAATTTCAACTAATTTGATAAAACCAAATTGTCTGTATTCAACTTTAATTGAAGCTGCTTGGTGTGGAGAGGCACTTCTTTCTCAGTGAGGGTAAATAACAGGGCACAGATACAAAATGTCCTTGTATGAACAAGATTTGATTAATTGGTTATAATCATGGTAATTACAAGCTGGTATCAGGTTTTCTCTATACATTTCCTAAACTGCTGTCAAAGAGAAATTGTTTAACAATCTAAGACTTCTTTAGTTGGTGATCATTTCCTATAATCTGGGAGAAAATTAGATACTGGTAACTCATAGAGGTCAATGGTTCAAAAAGTGTTGTGTGCTACTCTCAGATTCTTACTTTAGAGGATAAAATGAAAGTGATGCATTTTTATTATTTTCACTTAGAAAGGCCGAGAACTATGGAGCATTTCTTTGACAGCTATTCATTCTATATGCACAAAGTGCCTGTCCACACATTCATACAAGAGCACTGGCTTCTGGATACCTTGCGCTTGCTACTTTGACAAGACAAAACAGTAAGATACCAGTCTTGATATGAAATAAACTCTATCATGCATCTACCCTCATTTCATAAACCCAGAAGGACTGATTTAAAGCTGAAAAAAAAAGGCCGTTAAAAGCAAGGGGAATATATGTTAAAACAACAAATATTTGTGCCATTATGCACTGATTTGTTTCTTGCCAAGTCCTGTTTTTTGATAGGCTTTCAGTGAAAAAATGCTCCAGTGCTTAACACTTTAGCAGATTTTTTTTTTTTTGGACAAAATGCAACTTTCATCTTCGTGTTTAAGAATTCTTCTCTTTTTCCCACGCTCATGACAAGATGATAAAGCACATTTCTCTACTTTTCTTTAACCGAGCTGAACTAAGACTTATCATCTTTCTCATTCTATTTTCATTAACATGTTTCACACATTATTGTGAAAAATGTTGGTATTTACAACCTTTCACAGGTCTGAGTTCACGGTTTGTTGCAAACCGAAAACGGCAAAGTTTAAGTTTAGCCAAAACAAAGAACTATAAAGTACTAAGCAACCAGAAATAGTTATATTACATTAACTGATGTGAGTTGTTCACCGAAGCTTGTAATCTTCAATAAATGAAAAAAAACCAGCGGTACGTAAAATTAAATCTGTCGTGCTACTGAGGTTCTTCAGTATGTCATCCGTCGTCTCCAAGATTTAAGGCAAAAATTTAAGTAAATCGTTCCCGTAATTCGAATCTTAGTCATGGCGAAATCGATTGACTTCGAAAAATTTAAGTGTAATAATTACGAATCAAACAGAACTCGAAGCAAAACATATCATGCCAGATATTTTGAAGTCGATTCCAGTGAACCGAACAGAAAACTAAAAATATAACGTGGTAAAAATGTTACAAAAACACATTTTCCTTAACACAGTACCGTAAAATCAACCAAGATGTTGATCAATGCTAGATATGTAAATAGTGGTTAGTATTCTTATGTCACATAATCGTCGATCACACAAAAACATACTTTAGCCGACACGAAAATTCACGCAACATGGATGGCAAAATAAGCATGTTACCTGCTGTGCTTCCCCTCTTGTGCCCTCTTTTTCCGATGGATTCGTCTGATGCAGTTTACTGATTATGGAATCGAGCTTTCGTCTAATGAAAAATACACAAATGATAACCGAAGGCGGCAAAAATGTAATGAAAACTTGTCACGGTACCGTTCGTAAACTACCGGTTGCCAAACACATGGCGCCAAATGTCACGAATTATTACCAATGAAACTGACCTTTTTTTCTTCACTCTTTCCTCATCTGGCATCTTCTACTTCTCTCAAACAAAATGATTGTTATTTTACCATACAGATGAAGACAGTCGTTTCCCTTTTGCCGAAATTTCCTTCTTTTCGCGCCAGCCTGCGCGACCAAGCCTCTCCCATTCCCAACATACTTTGCGAGAGCCACGTGCTCGACAGTTTCCTTAGCAACATAAGGGAGTTCTGATAGACTGTTGCCATGGTTACTTTCTAGTCAACTAATTTCAAATACTCCCGTATCTCGGATTTCTGTTGGGCTTCTTAGCTAAGGAGATAGAGTTTTTGTTTTATCATTTTTCAGTATGCTTTGATGAAACTTTAAAAATTAACTGACCTAAAGTTAATTTATGCTACATCGAAGCAGACCATCGCTCGCACCCCGTGGTTGAATGAAAACTTTGTGAAGCTATAAACATCAGGATCAAGTGTTCATTTCCATAACCTCACCGAGACGAGGTAAGCCTGTTTTCTAAATAAAAATAGTTCACATTTTTGAGTCAAGAATATACCATGTATGCAATAGTTTCCGCTAAGATTCATTTTATTTTGCCCAGTCTGCTACCTACAGATTTACAAAGACTTAATATGCGAGTTTAGGCCATCAGTGATAAGCAAGGTTAGTTCTAGTTTTTGATCGAACAGGAAAAGAGTCGCACATGCCGGCTGTTAAATCATAGTTAGTATGTTAAATCATATAACGCGCTTTTCGATTAAGTGTCGTAAAGCCAAAACCATAGTTATCACAACAGCCAATCAGAAGAAAGGAAAAAACCTTAAGCAGTCACTGAGAAAAAAAAATTAACTGCCTAAAGCACGGGAAAGCGCGGGAAAACGCGGGCGACCAAGTCGCGATTGGTTCTAATTTTGCATCTGATTGGTGGAGAGAGTTGTGCAAAACCGATGCAATATCTCATATTACTCTCGACGCTCAATTGAAGATTGCTCTAAATCCGTCTGTGACCATCTGTGTTAAGGAAGTCAAAGAGCTGTTATTGCTGGTTAACGACATTTCTCGTTTCATCAACCTAACTTTAAGTAATCCACAGAGTTCTATAATGATTGCTTATAGCAATAACTTCATTTCTCGGTTCAAAGACTGCGAACTAACCTCATTTACTTTTTCACCTCGAGAAATGAGAGAGCAACGGAAAGTTTAAGGCAAACAGTAAAACTTTAAATCTGTGCCTCTTGTTTGGCGCAGAAGTTAGTGGATTAATTAGAAGTGTAAACATTTCCATCAACTAAAACACTTTTTTCGTATTTTTTTTTAATGACTGAGATGAAGGAAATGCAAGAAAAGTTATTGAGGAAAACACATTAAAGTTCGCTAAATTGTCAGTGGTTTGTATCTTGACGTAAAAAAGCTCCAAGGTCTTCCCAAATGTTCAGATTCAGTGAATCACAAGCATTTCTACATTGACGACTATCAATTACTGATTCTCTCTCAGCAAACCGATGTTGAAGTTCGCTGTATGTTGCATCTGCAATAGACACAGGTCCAGTTACTAGGTGCCTCAGGTGATCAGCGAGATTTGTAAACGTAAGGTGCTCATGTCTAATGTCTTGAAGTTTCACCGAATGTTCGTGGACCTGGTATCTGAAATAGAAAAGAAAAGAAGTGACCCAATTAAAGGAAATTTGGAACTGTTTTCATTTCTTAAAGGAATCAGAATAAACGCGATCTAATTCCCGAAATGATCCATAGAAATTCACCTCTAAAAGAGGATGCCAGTATCACAGCGGATTCGAATCCCTCCGGATTCGTAACCCCCGTTCGCTAGCGGATATGGACCCCCTAAATTCTAGGGGTCCATTTAGCCTGCTGAGTGGGCTTGATTATCATGCGTTTTTCAGGCGAACGGAGACAAACGCGAAGAGAGTGCGAAGCGCGAGTCGCGAACGAGTGATAGATGTGCAAACCATTTTTTCTTTTGCTCTTTCCCTATTGCACGACTCGCGCTCACCGCGTGTTTTCCCCCGTTCGCCTGTAACACGCAAAAAAATTACGACTTTTTCTGTAGGTAATTGGGACTGGGAGGTCAGGATCCAAATCCACTTGCGCAAATGAACTGAAAAGCGATCGCATAGCCTCTACATGTAACCATGCGACATAATCGCTTAACCGAGAAGAAAATCAGTCATAAAAGATAGACGTACACTGTACGAGTTTGGTAAATTCAAGTGTGAGACCCAGCGAGAGGATGGGTGGGCTACTAAAAGCACCGACTGTTGACAATTTTTTGCTTGCAACAGATTCTAGAAATCGCTTACCTCCACTGAATTCCTCTCGAAGTGCACCACTTCTCTTCATGGCTGCAGACATAAGGGGTCATACGTTCTGCCCAGCTCAGTAGATGAGACAGGTACAGTTGGAAAAAGGCAGGATACATAAAAGCCACTCTACTGAGCATGTGGAGAGGAATGATCAGCAAACGAGGATCTGGTTTGCATCTAGCAAAAAATTCTGTTGAAAGTTATAAAACCATTTGTAAACTTAGCGCATTGGAGAACAGAAGTGAAAATAAGACCGGTAAAAAATTCAGGCCTGTACGGGATTCGAACCCGTGACCTCTGCGATGCCGGTGCAGCGCTCTACCCACTGAGCGAAGATCGTTCTCCTATGCGTTTCTTTAACCGCAGTTCAAATATATGATTTTCATATATTCATAGCCATTTTTGAATTTGTAAGATTTTTTTGCAAACTTTATTCAAAAGTTACATTGTAAGATCAAATTCTAATTTCAAAAGTTGACACAAAAAAAAAAAAATGTAGTCAAATGTAGTGGAAATATCATTAGTACTGAGAACAACCATTCCAAATGGGACCTGTTTCCCGCAAGTATGGGTGGTTACCAGTCCAACCAGGCTGTTTCATTGTTGTTGTTGTTGTTGTTGTTGTTATTTCCTGCTTACAGTTTTGAGAATCAAACAATAACAATATCAGGAATTAGACAGAATGGATTGTATTTTTGCACCACCATGAGTTTCTTGATCTTTCTTGTCCCTGCTCTTTGCTTTTTCCAGTTTCTTCCCTTCCCCTCCCTCCGAAAAAAAGCAACCCTCCACATGATGAATTGACCAGAAAAGGCCACTTTTTGGATATCAACTTCCAAATCTATAATTTTTTTTTTCGACCTACTACTATGTCTACTTCTATCTCATAAGCTCTGAATACCTTCACTTAACGCCTACCTAGGACCCAGTTCAAAATTAGCTGAGTAGCAGTCTGAGCTTCTTGAGTGGATTGACAGTCATCTGGAGTCAACACCAGTGATGAGATTATGCTCGCCAGTCCATTGTCCTGTTTAGCTAGCTCTGTCAGCTTATCACAGAGAAGTTTCCTATTCTTGCTGGAATCTAAAAATATCAATATGAAATGTAATGAGACTGATGCCTCTGTGAAAGTGTAGTGTGATTGTCTGGGTGAGTGTAGTCCTCAGAGAGACTGTTGTCGGTGGTGGTGACTGACGTTTTGACAACCTGTGCGGAAGTCATCATCAGAGTCAGGTGAATAGCTGTTGTCAGCAGAATGTTCTTAGTCCAGTTTGTGTAAAATGATTGGTTAGTTTTGCCACAATGTTATTGGCTGTAAGACTCAAGTGGGTAAGTCTGTTGTAATAGGTCTTTTTCGATCCATCGGTAAAGTTAGGCCAGTAAAGCATCGGTAAACTGATGCCTCTATTACTTTGTCTGCATCTAAATTTCTGTACTGAACCAAAAAGCTGATTTGATTGATAACCTTTCTGATTAATCTTAAAGTCTCTCAGTGGTCACTTGAGATCCTTCACTCTAAGGAGTTTTTTTTAAAAGTACAACCACAGGAGAGAACAGTCAGTAAAATCTCTCAAATTTTAGATTAAACAAATGCCATTTTCTCATTATTTAAAACTTTTAATCTAATTTAATTTTTTTGTACCATTATTATCCTAGAATCAAATATAGCTATCATGACGAATTTAGGAAATGATACCTGACTAAAGAACATTTTGATCGTTTAACAATGTCACTGTCAGAACCACAGGAAATGTATAAAGAATGATATGGAGAATATGTTTACTGAAGATGTTACTGTGTAAAAGGGTAAAGACAAACAGCAGACTTGAGAAAGGTTTTCAAGTGGTACCAAGATCTTAATATTTAACAACTATTCAACGAAGTGGTGGTTGGTGGTGGATATTTACTGAGCCGTGAAGCGGCGAGGTAAATATCCACCGCTAAGCACCGACACTGA